AAGACAACTTACTCAGCCATTTCAAGGATGGCCTGAACTACGATCTCTACAATGTCTGCCTTCCTCGGGGAGACCTGCACCAACTGCACGATTAGTACGTCCTGCCGAAGAAGCTGAAATCGACCTGGCCAAGAGACACCGCAGAGGAAAACCCTGGGGAAAACCACCACCTGGGCAACCCCGCGAGACTGCGAAGCAACAACCCACCGCAAACACTGGCTGTTTCAGATGTGGAAAGGAAGGACACCATGCCACAGACTGCCGTTCACGCACCCCACTCGAGAAGCCGGACCGGAGCTCAACCGGGAACTCTGGAAGATCACCAGCCAAGCCCCGAGAACCTGCCTTGAAAGGCACCGAGACCGTTGAGTTCCCCCCTACTGCCCAACGAGGAAAGGGAACTCCAGCCTACATTGCAGGAGCATCCAACTCGTCAGACGATAACTCTGAGGACAAACCCCTGGTAAGTGGACCCATCGCGCCCGTCACCTGGATAGTAACCATACTAGCCCCTCCATGCCCGAAACTATAGGGCACTAACTCTGGGTGCACGCGTTGCCTCATCAGCCCAACGCTAGTAGGAAACCTGGGCATTCTGGTGAGGAGGCTGAAAAAAACAATTTCAGTCAATTAGATGGGTCCATAGAAGAGGGGATGCTGGCTACCCTAGCCACGTTACAAGTCCAACTCGCATTGGGGGACCACATAGAGACTATAACATTCGTGGTGACTCCAAGCATGGAATGCCCCCTAATTCTGGGCCTGGCATGGCTAGCGAAATGGAACCCTAGGGTGGACTGGCGGACAGTGGAGCTCAGATTCCCAAAGGGAGAACGGAAAACCCTGTCACCCCAGAGGGGCCCGCCTGAACCTTTGGCCGAGAAAGCAGCAGTGGGAGGAGAAGGAATTACCCAAGATACCTGAAGAACACAGGGACCTTGCTGAAGTATTCAGTGAGGAGAGATCGGACGAATTACCTCCCCACCGACCCACAGATTAAACCCAGAGCAAAACTCCCAAAACCCAGACTATACTCCAGGAGCCCAGTGGAGCTACAAGAGATGCAGAAGTTCATAGATAAAAACTTAGAGAAGGTTTCATTCAACCCTCATCACCAAAAGTGGCTGTGCCAATCCTGTTTAGAGAAAAGAAGGACAGAACTCTTTGTCTGTGTGTAGACTATAGGGCCTTGAACGTCATAAGCGAAAGCAATCTATACCCCCTACCACTAATGAAGGACATGTTATCCCACCTCTCAAAAGGGAAGATCTTCACTAAACTAGATTTGCAGGAGGCGTACTACTGCATTAGAATCAAAGAAGGAGATGAGTGGAAAACTAATTGCCCCACGGGATGCTACCAATTTGGGGTCCTACCTTTCAGACTGCAAGGAGCACCAGCAGTTTTCATGCAGTTGATAATAGTTGATACGGAAGCACCTGTACAAGGGGGTCCTGGTTTACCTGGTGACATCCTCATTTTCACGGAAACCAAGGAGGAACACGTGGAACTAGTTAGAGCCGTCCTAAAGAAACTGCGGCCACTCACCTTTATGCCAAACTATCAAGGTGTGAATTCCACCAAGAAAAGATAGACTACCTAGGATACCGAATCTCTCCTGAGGGCATAGAAATGGACCCTGAAAAGGTTTGTGCGATGCTGGAATGGGCACCACCCTGCACAAGAAAGCAACTACAAAACTTCCTGGGGTTCGCTAATTTCTACCGCCAATTCTTCTCCTCATTTACCCAAATAGCTCTGCTACTAAATCTAATAAAAACCAAAGGGGTAAACAAACCAAAAACTTGCCAACCACTAAAATGGACGGTGGAATGTCAAGCCGCTTTTGAGAGACTAAAAAGATCTTTTTCGGCTGAACCCGTCCTGAGACATCCCGACCCAGATAAGCCTTTTGTACTGCAAGTGGATGCTAGTGATGTGGCTGTAGGGGCTATGCTGTTGCAGGAGAACAAATGGGACATTACAACCCTGTGCATACACCTCCCGAAAACTCACTGAGACAGAGCAACAATGGGCAGTATGGGAGAAGGAAGCGTATGCGGTGAGGTGGGGGCTCCTCACCTGGCGACATTTCCTCGAAGGGAACAAGATCCCCTTCCAAGTCTGGACTGACCATAAGAACCTGGAAGCATTAAAAGCACCCAGGATACTCACCCCTAAGCAAACCCCGTGGTCTCAACATTTCTACTGGTTTAATTTCACAATCAAACATCTACCGGGGGGGAAGAATTTTCTAGCCGATGCCCTGTCCCGCATGCCTCAATATAACAGCACCAAACCTAGCGTATCAAAACCCCTCATGCCTGAAAAGCAACTAGCACAACTGGGCACAACTGAAATTGAAAAAGCCATTAGCTAGCCAAACCGGGATTGAATTCAAAAAAGCTTTAGAAACCGATGAGTGGTTCCTAAGTCACAAAAACCTATGCACCATCATCGATGCATTACCCTGGGTGGGGGAAAAATTATACATACCAAAATGCCAAAGACACATTTATGCAGCTATGCCATGACACAAAATCAGCGGGCCATTTTGGTTTCGTGAAAACATTTCATCTAGTCAAAAGGCAATTTTGGTGGCCATCTCTCAAAAAGGACCTTGAAAGCTATGTAGCCAGCTGTCCAACTTGTGCAGTAGCTAAAAGACTGCACGGAAAGTCCCCAGGGCTGTTGCAGCCAGTAGCAAGCCCCCTCAATCTCCATGGATTGTATAGTGGAGTTGCCAGAAAGCAGTGGAAATACAGTTATTTGGGTGGTGACTGACCTGTTTTCCAAGCAGGTACATTTCATACCTTGCTCAAAGATTCCAACCGCAAAAACTTTAGCAAAGCTTTTCGTCCAGCATATCTACAGACTACACGGGGCATCTCAGCACATCATATCAGATGGGGGTGCAATTCACATCAGAATTCTGGAAGGAATTCCTGTCTCTTTTGGGGACCACCCAGGGACTGTCATCTAGTCATCATCCACAGACAAATGGTGGGATGGAATGTTCAAACTCAGTACTTGAACAATATATAAGATGCTTTATTAATTACCAACAGATAAACTGGACTGCCGTTCACAGAAGTTGCCTACAACAACGCTGTTCACTCCAGCACCGGCTACACCTCTTTCCAAGTAGCTACCGGACACAGTTTCAACCCCATTCCAGAACTAATACCCAATGAACCAGCTATCCCATCCCTGAAGGAGTGGATCACTCAGTTAAGAAATATCTGGCCCGTAGTTAGGAAAACGTTAGACGACGCTAGGCAGGCTTACAAAGCACAGGCAGACGATAAAAGGACTGAGCCAGAGCCTTCAAAATAGGGGAAATGGTCTATTTATCAACCAAATACCTAAAATCCCTACAACCGTCAAAGAAGCTAGGGCCAAAATATGTAGGACCATTCCCCATCATTAGAATCATAAATCTAGTAACGGTGGAATTGAAGCTCCCAAAATCACTAAGGCAAGTCCACTCCATTTTCCATTGCAACCACCTAAAGCGAGAGCAACAGCTGTTGCTCCCCCTCCCCCTCCCATCATGGTAGAGGGAGAACAACATTTTGAAATAAAAGACATTCTAGACTCAAGGAAATATCATGGTTCGATCCAATACCTAGTAGTATGGAAACATCTCCCATCGTCTCAAAACAAGTGGGTCCACAAACGTTACATTAACACCCCAAATTTATTAAATTTCACACAGAATACCCAAACAAACCCGACTAACCTATGTGCATTTATCTTTATCTCTCCACAGGTGGATCTCTCTCTTTTTTAATGAAGGCAGGATGTCTGAACCCTTATCGATAGATCCCCAAATCCTTTTATTCCCCCTCTCTCATTTACTATTTCTTCCTCTTTCATCCTGACCCGAATCTCACTCTCCTCTCATCCTGGGTTCTGCCATACTCCTAGGGGGGAGGGGGTGTGTGCTTGAGGGTTATTGCCTTGACTTTCTCTATCACTACAAAGTAACACTTTGCTTTCCTGCAATATTTCTTTTGAACTTTCCCATCCCTTACTGTGAACTAGCAAAGGGAGGGAAATCATGTAATGCAACCTCCGGCGACTGCGTTATCTCCGTGCTCCAGAGAAGGTGCGAAAAACTGCCTAAACATCGCAGAAAAAAACCAGAGACGGACTGATGTTATTTCCCTGTTCCCACGAGGGACCTAAGACCTGGGGATTGGACCATTTGAACTGAACGGATGAACTATGGGTGGGATTTTGCTTGGGACACTTTACCTATCGATCTGAGCATGAAAACCTCAGATCCTATCTATGCCTGCTATCAGCTTCTCCTAATAAAAGTTCCTTTTGGAAGAACCCGCTTCCATGAGTTCTGCTTTCTTGTGATGAGGTATTGAAGTGGGCCACAACACCATGAACTTCTGTGCCCAAGGCTGCTGCTTCTAGATTTCTCTGTAGTTGTCATCAAGCCTTTGCAACCTTCCTCATAATAGTGCACAGAACAACCAGTTCCAGGTGATCCATATCTGGACTGAAACATATATTCCAAGCAGATTATTTGTGGTGGGGTGAGGTAAGTGTGAAAAACTAAGCACACTGCTGGGAAGCTAGAGAAAGAAAGGTACTTGAAATATCAACAGGCAGGTTAGAGAGTGGAGAAAGTGGAGTAAGGTACATCAGTCTTGCCTTACTCATCCTGTAAGACCCATGTGTATTTTGTTTCAACTAAGTAAGATTCTAAAATGTTTTTTATATATGTGTGTGTTCAAAAAAGAATTCTTATCATTTGGGCACTTTGTAAAATTCTAATAACGTTTGGTAGTTGATCTCCATGGCACTGCAAAATACAGTTCATATATATTTTTATTTAAAAGTTGAAATTAAATAGAAATAATTATGATTTTCTGAAGTTTAGAGTTGTAGTTCAATATTACATGATTGGTAATTAGAAGTGTATTTCCTTAATTGAAATTAATGCATAATTTCAAATTCTTGCATTATCTTTTTCCTTTTAGAAAGATCTTTCTTGGCTTTGGATTGGGACCCTGAATTCAAAAAGAGATACTTTGATGAAAATGCTGCCGAGGTACATGATATTTAATAAAGAGAAAAAAGTTGTTCCATTACTTAAATATTTGCCACTTTGTTTGAAAGTGGTTAATTAGAGTAATCCATTTGATCTTTCCAAATTATGTGTAGTCAGCTTATCATGGAAGAAAACTATTTTTTTATTGTAAAAATTGACTAGATACATTCAGGAAGGAAGGGCAATATTTACTGTCAGCTGACTGCCAAATTTTGAAAAATGAAATGTTTTATCAAAGAGTTTACCAGTAGAATAGTTGCTGTTTTCAAATCAGATTCATTTTCCCTGGGCCAAGATAGACATGGGCCAAAATGTAGAAGAGCTCACCTGAGGCACAAATGAAAGTCTACTTGATTATTGTGGGGTTTAACATAAAAGAATTCATCTGCATGTTTGCTGTCATAATAAACTCCCTTTCTGAAGAAATGGTATAAAATGAATTGAATTATCCTCCTTTCATCCCATTTCATAACTTGTCCAAATTTCCCTCCACAAAATTAGATGAAACTGGAACATGGCAAAATAATACTTGCGCTCATGGATAATATCTTTTTTTCAAAGATTTCCACATAGATTAAAACTAGCAGAGTTGTATTTCCAATTTGGCATATTTTTCCATATTAGTAAACATATAGCCCTTTTTTTACAGAAAGACAAAAATCACTAAAATGAATTTTGTTTCATTTGTTTTTTAACTCAAGAAATACTTCTCTTTAGGATTTTGAAAAACATGAAAGTGTGGAATATAGACCTCCAAAAAAACCATTTGTAAAATTAAAAGATTGCATTGAGTTATTTACAACTAAAGAAAAGTTGGGTGCTGAAGATCCATGGTAAGAGCAAAATACTACTTGTATACTGAAATGATTTCTCACATTATGGGATTTATTTTTCACTTTTCTGTGAGATTTCTGATAGTTTACTAATAGTTTCTAAGCTTAGTATACATTGTAGAATAGAGTGTGTGGTGTTTTGTTTCAAAGGGTAGATATGGTGTGGATATCTTTACAGTACATGTCAACAGCTTCCTAAAGAATCACCTTTTTTCTAAACTACAAGAGCTATAGTTATTTAACCAAACCTATATTTACTAAAAAGTAATTATTACATGTACATAACTCCCTTTTTCTTATTTTTTAATGTGTAGAAAAAATACTAGCAAAATCCTACATTTATAATTCTACCAAACTAGAAATTAACATATTGGCAGTAATAAACTAGGTCAAAGAGAGGACTGTTTATTGCAGTAACTTGTAGAAAGGGGGTTGCAAAACATTTCAACATATACTTATCCTATGAATCCCATGCCAATATAATTGTACACTAATATAAGAAATTTTATCTGTAAACTTCAGTAGCTCCGAATACTAGTCTGTAATTTATGGGAGTAAATGACAGATATTTATTCACATGTGTGTATGCATATAGCTGTCTCTTGTTATGGGATCTCCAAATGGATTATCTGGTCCTCTCACAATGACAGTAATGAAAGCATTGTGTATGAGACTAGGCTACCACTGTTTTTCTCACAATAAAATTCAAAACAATGTAATGAAAGCATTTGTGTATGAGGCTGGGCTACCACTGTTTTTCTCCCAATAAAATTCAAAATAATGTGTGTGTGTATAAAATATGTATAAAATCTAATTATAATTATAAATACAAGTAACCATGTTATCATAGGTAATAGTATATCATTTTGGAATAGGAATGCTCTAATTACTGCACAATTGCCCTTATCCCTCATGCTAGCAAGATTCCCCTGAAGCTAATGCAACAATATCTGGTGCCACCATCGAAACAGTATTAACATGTTCAGGTTGGCTTCGGAAGGAGTTGTGGCACTTACAAATATTGCAAATCTATGCTGGATAATGGGAAAAAAATCTCAATATTTAAAGAACATCTACATCTGCTTTATTGACTACAAGAAAGCCTTTAATGGTATCAGTAATTAAAGTTGTGAAGAGCCCTGGAAGATTTGGGGATATCATTACACATGCTGAAGTTGGTGTGGATGATGTACACAATCAGGAAGCTACTATGCAAACACCATATGGAGACCTTGATTGGTTCAAGAAACAGAAAGGAGGGCGGCAAGGTTGCATTCTTTCACCTTTCTTATTCAACCTGTATGCTGCAATGTTCATAAGGAAGCAGAAACTTGAAGAATAAAAAATCAGAGGAAAGATTGGAGGAAAAAACATCAAAATTTTGAAATGCTGACATATCTGATCAAAATAAAATTTTGAAATTTTGACATATCTGAAATATCTGATCAAAAAAGATTAAAGAAGAAAGTGGTAAAAATTCTCTACTTCCTGACTATCAGAAAGATCAAGCTCATAACCACTCTGATGAATTGAAATGTCAAATTAACAATTGATGTTAAAAAGATCAAATGCAACTTCTCCACTTACCTATCTATCCTCATCTATGTCCTTCCTCCCATTGCCAGGTCAGGTTTGCCCCACCCCCGGTAGGATTCCAATCATCAGGGCTGATGCAGGTGGGGACTGGCAAAAGCTGGTGCAAGCCACAATGTCTACTAAGGAAGTTGCTGGCAGGAGTATTTCAATTACCATCACCCTGCATGGGGAAAGAGTCAGATTGGAGTGGTTTTAATGGCTGCCACATACCCGAGGCCTACCTGCTTCCTGCCTTCTCCTTCCTGCCCTGGAGTAAGTCTGGGCTGGGGCAGGTGGGGCTTCCCTGGCATTTTGCCCTTCGTTGGGGGGAGGGGGAGCTGCTTCACACCATGCTCTTGGAGCTTCTTGGGCATTTGGCACTTCCCAGGGCACAGTGCCTTTTGCTGCATTGCTGGGTCAGCCTGGGGCTATTCTGGAAATGACCTGCTTTTTTCCCCTGCCTTCCTGCACTCAAATAAAACTGCAGCACTCCCACAACTTGCACACAGTTTGTGCCAGGTCTCCCTCATACTCCTGAGGCACCCCCACACTGGGGCTTTATTTGCTTAACAACCCATGAAATTGCTTAACAGCTGTAATCAGGAATCCTGGGATTGTGGTCATTGACTGAACTGGTCATGTGGTATCTTGCTTAATGACCACTCCACTCAACATTTGAGATTCTGGTCCAAATTGTGAACATAAGTTGAGGACTATCTGTAGTTCACACTATTCTTTTCCCACAGCTAGCTACAGTTGCTAGAATAAGATAATAAAAAAAACTAGAGAGGAGGGAAATCGACTCATTTGAGCTATGGCGTTGGAGAAGACTCCTATACATTCGTTGGACAGCAAAGGTGACAAGCAAGTTCTGAAACATAATACCAGACATACTGTATCGCTGGAAAGCAAAATCGCAAAACGTTGTGAGATAAATAAAACCTAAGATCTGGCACTTCTGGCTAGCATTCAGCACCTGTATCTCGGGCAATTCCTTTATTTCTCCTAACATAAGTAACCTGGCCTCTGCCCTCCTTACTCTCGCCAGCCACCCCACTCTCATTCTGGGTTGCAGATGGAAAGCACCTCACATTAAGCTAGGCAGACAGATCCCTCCCTCCTTCATCTCTTGCCCAAAGGAAGTAGTCAAGCCCCCTGTGTCTCCCTTTTTTGTGGATACACTCAAGACTAGAAGGAAAAAAAGGATATATATTTGAACAATAGTAGTTTGTTTACTATTTGCATAATAGGACTGACAGTATGTCTCCACAAGTTTCAAGGAAAACAGACAAATTATATCTCTAAGGTTTTAATTTATAACAAGCATTTAATAAATTAAACATAATATGAAAATTTTATCTTCATATTTTTCTTGCCATATACTTCACTTAATTGTAAAATAAGTCTTTAACAAGATTTTTTGGTCTCTCTAGGTATTGCCCAAACTGTAAAGAACACCAGCAAGCTACCAAGAAACTAGATTTGTGGTCGCTACCACCAGTACTGGTGGTGCATCTAAAACGTTTTTCTTATAGCAGATACATGAGAGATAAATTGGATACATTGGTTGACTTTCCAATAAAGTGAGAACCATATCAAAAATGGATAGCTTTTGTGTTTATTGTTCATATCCTTGATATACTTTTACAAACATTTATTCTACATGTTTGCAAGAATATTTATAATATTATATAATGAATCAGTGATGAGATTTCAGGCTGAATGGCCATGACCTTGATTTCTTTTGTCTTGATCATGGCCATTTAGCCCAAAAGCTCATCACTGCTTCATTGATGCCAGCTGTGAAAGCCTGGACCAGTATAATAATATATTCTATAATATTTATTATTTTGAAGAATATACATACTTACGTAACTAAATTATGGAAGTGTATTTGTTACATCTGGAACAATACTTTAGGTTATAGTTGCCTGAAAATGAACCCATGTATCGAATAAAAAAAAAAATCTAAAATAAGAGGAAGAAGATAAGGCATAGGCCATTGAGTACAGATTTGTTATATTGATATGTCAGAGAATATTTTCTGAAACATAAGTCACATACAAGTTCATTTATTATATAGACAAAATTAGTCCACTTTAATTTGAATAATATTGCATTGCCTTTTTCAGCCAAAAAACTGCTTGCTCTCCAGTGTTTTAACTAAATATGATATATTTCCTTACATTTAGTAATCACTCCGTGTAATTCCATATGTAGACAAAAATTGATCCTACATACAACTGTATAGAATTATTCATTTATTTTCAATTATATGTCAGCTTTATGGTGTAGATCAGACTAAGAAACCTTTCTTTCTTACCTGAAAGAAAAATGCTTCTGAACATTATCTGAACATGCTTATGAATTAAGCTTATTTGATTGAAGCAGCATACTAATAGCTGACTAAATGAATGAATGAATACATTTAGAAGCCAAATAAAAAAGGATCACTTTATTTAGTACATTTATATTCTGTTTCCTTCAAGAAGTACAAAACAAATATATATATTCTTTCCTCATACAGGATATGAGATTGGTTGTCACTAAGTGATTCTTAACATTTTAACTTCACCTTTTACAAGTGTGACACACTAAACTATTTTAGAAATCATATCTGTTGATAAATTATTAAATTTAAAAAATTATAAATTATTAAATTTAAAAAAAAAACCTTCACCCTCCTAGATTTTTAGTGTGATTCATTTATTGCTTTGCTTTAGAAACTAAAGCAGTGGCTTCACTGACTTTATTGAAGGAAATTATAATTACTAATATACAGTTTTTGAAAACTAATCCAGTTTGATCTTTTCTTCAAAATAGTGATTTGGATATGTCTGAATTCCTAATTAATCCAAATGCTGGACCTTGTCGCTATAATTTGATTGCAGTGTCAAATCATTATGGAGGCATGGGAGGAGGGCATTGTAAGTAATGTATTTTATATGTATGACTTTATCTTTATTATGGCTCAGTTACTAGCATTTTCAGTAAAGTGATTTTTCTTATTCTAGATACTGCTTTTGCAAAAAATAAAGATGATGGGAAATGGTACTACTTTGATGATAGCAGTGTGTCAACTGCATCCGAAGAACAAATTGTGGCAAGTATCGGTTTCCAAAACCAAGATAGCATTATTGCACAGGAACAAGATCCAAGACTGCCTTGCTTATATAATCAGTTAAAAGTAATATTTACCATGCTATAAAACACATTACGATAATATAAAACTTTATGCATGTATTGTGGTTCATGCAGCCAATCTGGAAATCTAAGTCCAAAGCACCATTAATAAATGCTGTAAGTGAATCTTGACAATTTCAGCCAGAAAACCAGAATACTCTTGCTTCTTATCCTGTACATATTACTGAAAATACTTTGTAGCTTTAGTTTTTCATCCAATATCATTGTATGGACCTTAGGAGATATTTCAGAAAGCAATGCAGCATAAAGATTCCATTTTTAGATTTCATTCTTTATCAAATGTTAGCAATAAATTTCTCTTTCATGGATTACTGCCTTGTTGTAGCGAGGAGGCTTGCGTAACTCAATGAACTATGAGCTATGCCATGTAGGGCCACCCAAGACGAACAGATCATAGCAGAGAGTTCTGACAAAATGTGATCCACTGGAGAAGGAAATGGCAACCCACTCCAGTATCTTTGCCATGAAAACCCCATGGACAGTACCAAAAGGCAAAAAGATATGACGCTGGAAGATGAGCCCCTCAGGTTGGAAGGTGTCCAATATGCTACTGGGGAAGAGCAGAGGGCTAGTACTAGTAGCACCAGAAAGAGTGAAGCAACTGGGCCAAAGCCAAAAGGACGCTCAGCTGTGGATGCATCTGGTGGTGAAAGGAAAGTCCAATGCTGTAAAGATCTTTTCTCCATAGGAACCTGGAATGTAAGATCCATGAATCGAGGCAAACTGGACATGGTCAAATGACAAGACTGAACATCGACATCTTAGGAATCAGCGAACTAAAATGGACAGGAATGGGTGAATTTAATTCAGAGGACCATCAGGTATACTATTGCAGGCAAGAATCCCTCAGAAGAAATGGAGTAGCCTTCATAATCAATAAAAGAATAGGAAAAGCAATACTGGGATACAATCCCCAAAATGACAGAATGATCTTAGTGTGAATCCAAGGCAAACCATTCAATATCACAGTATTCCAAGTCTATGCCCCAACCACTGGTGCTGAAGAGGATGAAATTGACCAGTTCTATGAAACCCTACAGCACCTTATAGAATCAACACCAAAAAATGATGTCCTTATCATCATGGGGGATTGGAATGTTAAAGTAGGAAGCCAAAAGATAATCAGAATAACAGGCAAGTTTGGTCTTGGAGTACAAAATGAAGCAAGGCACAGGATGATAGAATTTTGTCAAGAGGATACGATGGTCATAGCAAACACTCTTTTCCAACAACCCAAGAAACAGCTCTACACCTGGACATCACCAGACGGTCAACACAGAAATCAGATTGACCATGTGCTCTGCAGCCAAAGATGGAGAACCTCTATACAGTCAGTAAAAACAAGACCAGGAGCTGACTGTGGCTCAGATCATGAGCTTCTCGTTGCAAAATTTAGGCTTAAATTGAAGAAAGTAGGGAAAAACACTAGGCTACTCAGGTATGAACTAAATCATATCCCTGATGAATATACAGTAGAGGTGACAAATAGATTTAAGGAATTAGATCTGATAGAGTGCCTGAAGAACTATGGACGGAGGTTCACAACATTGTACAAGAGGTAGCAACTAAAATCATCCCAAAGAAAAAGAAATGCAAGAAAGCAAAATGGCTATCTGAGGAAGCTTTGCAAATAGCTGAGGAAAGAAGGAAAGTGAAAGGCAAAGGAGAAAGAGAAAGATATACCCAATTGAATGCAGAATTCCAGAGAATAACTAGAAGAGATAAGAATACCCTCTTAAATGAACAGTACAAAGAAATAGAAGAAAACAATAGAATAGGGAGAACCAGAGATCTCTTCAAGAAAATTGGAGATATGAAGGGAACATTTCATGCAAAGATGGGCATGATAAAGGACCAAAATGGCAGGGACCTAACAGAGGCAGAAGAGATTAAGAAGAGGTGGCAAAATTACACAGAAGAACTATACAAGAATGAGCTTAGCGTCTCTGATAACCACGATGGGGTGGTCACTGACCTCGAGCCAGACATCCTAGAATGTGAAGTGAAAAGGGCCTTAGGAAAGCTGAGCAACAACAAAGCTAGTGGAGGTGACAGTATTCTAGCTGAGCTATTTAAAATCTTAAAAGACGATGCAGTAAAAGTGCTACACTCAATTTGCCAGCAAATTTGGAAAACTCAACAGTGGCCACAGGATTGGAAAAGGTCAGTTTATATTCCAATTCCAAAGAAAGGCAATGCCAAAGAATGTTCAAACTAGCGCACCATTGCACTCATTTCACATGCAAGTAAAGTTATGCTTAAAATCCTGCAAGCTAGACTCCAGCAGTATGTAGATCGAGAATATCCAGAAGTACAAGCAGGATTTCGAAGAGGCAGAAGAACTAGAGATCAAATTGCTAACATACACTGGATCATGGAGAAAGCTAGGGAGTTCCAGAAAAACATCTACTTCTGCTTCATTGACTATGCTAAAGCCTTTGATTGTGTGGATTACAACAAATTGTGGCAAGTTCTTAAAGAGATGGGAGTACCAGACCATCTCATTTGTCTCTTGAGAAACATATGTGGGTCAAGAAGCAACAGTGAAAACTGGACACGGAACCACTGATTGGTTCAAAATTGGAAAAGGAGTCTGGCGACGCTGTATTCTGTCACCCTACCTATTTAACTTACATGCAGAGCACATCATGAGAAAGGCAGGGCTAGATGAATCAAAAGTTGGAATTAAGATTGCCAGGAGAAATATCAACAACCTAAGATATGCAGATGATACCATTCTAATGGCAGAAAGTGAAGAGAAACTAAAGAGCCTCTTGATGTGGGTGAAGGAGAGTGCAAAAGTTGGCTTGAAACTCAACATTAAGAAAACCAAGATCATGGCATCCGGCCCTCTCAATTCCTGGCAAATAGATGGGGAAGAAATGGAGGTAGTGACAGATTTTATCTTCCTGGGCTCTAAGATTACCACAGATGGGGATTGCAGCCAAGAAATTAAAAGACGTTTGCTCCTGGAGAGGAAAGCTATGGCAAATCTAGACAGCATACTAAAAAGCAGAGACATCACCCTGCCAACAAAAGTACGTATAGTCAAAGCCATGGTTTTCCCAGTTGAATATATGGCTGTGAAAGTTGGACCATAAGAAAGGCTGAGCGCAAAAGAATTGAGGCCTTTGAACTATGGTGCTGGAGAAGAGTCCTGCGAGTCCCCTGGACTGCAAGGTGATCAAACCGGTCAGTCCTAGAGGAAATCAACCCTGACTGCTCTTTAGAAGGCCAGATCCTGAAGTTGAAACTCAAGTACTTTGGCCCCCTAATGAGAAGGAAGGACTCACTGGAGAAGAGCCTAATGCTGGGAAAGATTGAGGGCAATAGAAGAAGGATACAACAGAGAATGAGGTGGCTTGTTGGAGTCACTGAAGCAGTAGGTGTGAGCTTAAATGGACTCCAGAAGATGGTAGAGGACAGGAAGGCTTGGAGGAACATTGTCCATGGGGTCGCGATGGGTCGACTTCGCAACTAACAACAAGGCAATAAATTTGTAAACAGACCTTGAATGTTTCAGTTCATTCAGTAAACCTATAGCATGCATGTCAAAGATGATACACCACAATGTTTTGGGTGACCAGTATTCACCAACACCCAACCACTAGTCTTGATAGTATGCCCTATTCTAATTATAATTTTTGGAGGCTGTAAAAGCCTCATGAAAATGGAGTGTGCTGTCATGCATCTCTGGATACTCTGGGAATTTCATGAGGGGGTGTGTTCTTGCACTGCTTTCAGGGCTTGTGTTTTCTTTTAATGAATATGTAAAGAATTGTTTGTCTTTTGGGGGAATGGATGTAGTGACACATCAGAAGAGTCAAGTTAGGCATTTTCCAAATTGTTGACATACCAAGCCAAAAAGCTTGCCATCACTGTCCTAGAGAGTTGAGAAGAATCAATTTTTGTTACTGATGGGAAGGATCAGTAGCACTGCATGTAACATGTCCCAAAATGTTCGGCCTTTTAAATGCTTCTCTGCTAGCTCCACCATAGCTAGACTTTTTAAAAACAAATATGCAAAAATCATCCTTTTCTAGGACTTGATGTTCCCCAGTCTTATTTTAAAATGTTATTGGCAGAAGTAGGAAAAAAGAGTTGCTTTTCAGTTGCTTTTAGCTTATGCCCAAACAAGATTTTTTAGTCTTTTTTTCAATGAGCAATATATAGTGCTAATGTATTTAAGGTTATTGCTGAAAAGGGTCTTATCTAGTTCCACCGCCCCAAGTTAGTTTAATAACTTCATCTCCCTGCTCTAGTTAGTTCTATGTGATCAAATTTAATTAATTGGGTAGCATATTTATTCAAAAATAAAATAATAATTGAATGTCAGATAAGACGAGACAGCATTGTTTTGTATAGATAAAATTCTTTGCCATCATATAAAAATTCACAATATACTCTATACATAGAAATATATATAACCTTTATAAGGACCGCTATTTGTTTTAACAGAAAATGTTAAGCATGGGTAGTTGAACAAACTATTAAATCTCATCTTAATCCCATCTTCCTGATATATTTCCCCATAATTTTCTTTATTCATCTCTCTCATGATCAGTTTTCATTTATGCCTTGTGATGGGCTACTTTTGCATGTATTGTCCTTATGCAAACATCTGACCATTACTAAAGTCCTAGGAATTAAATGCAGTATAGTATAACTATTTGTCAAAGGCAGTGCCTAATTATTTATGTGTGAAAATAATAGAATGAATTGTGTTGTCCTTAATCTGAATATATTTTACTAGAATAAAATTGAAACTTGAAGAATTAAAATGGAGAGTTTAACTTTGGTAATTAACATTTTTCCCTTTGTTTTGCAGTCCAAAGCAGCCTATGTGCTCTTCTATCAAAGACAAGACACAATCAGTGGAACTGGTTTTTTCCCTCTTGATCGGGAAACTAAAGATGCTTCTGCTGCTACAGGCATTCCATTAGAGAGTGATGAAGACAGTAATGAGAATGACAATGATATAGAGAATGAAAATTGTATGCACACTAATTAATCGAAGAACTAGAAGCCATACAGAGAAGAACTTCCTGATGGGAGCTCTCGATTAAAAAAATGAAATTATCCACCAAATTAAAAATAAAATCTGAGATGGGAAATTTCAGATGACAGAATGTAAATCCTTGTTATATTTTAACTTGTGCAGTACCTGAAGTGAAACACAATGAAAACATTAGAATGTGTCTCTAATATCTTTGCAAACTTGTATTCACAAGCTATATAGGAAATAAAAACCCCTTTACAATTTCTGCTGCAATCTGGATGAATTACAGTTTCTTTGTTTTGGATACAAAATAATATTGACAATTTGTGGATTTGTTTTTTTGTGTCAATACCCCAAGAATATTACTGCAGAACCTCTGTTTTTCAATGGATGTGTCCTTAGACTAGTAACAAAAAACTGACTAGTATATTCAACACAATGCAGCAGCATTCTTGGAATGTCAGATTTTTAAGTATCTCCCTCAAATGTTGATTGAAAAGAAACTTAATCATGATAAAATGACTTGGAAAAGGTGTTTTAACCTTTTGTAATAAAAGTAATCTTCCAGAATATTATGTTCATCTTACTACTGCTGTGGAACAGGTTCTGGATTTCATGCTGCATTAAGGAATTGAATATTTCAATTAAATGTTAAATATCCCTCATTGCTTGTTGGATCTACTTTGTAAACATAATTCCTGTTATCTTGTTTATAAGATGTGCGTAACTTTAATCTGGTGTCAGTCCAAAAATTTTAACTGTGCTGTAAGTCCTTCTCTTCCTCCCCATTTTTAGTAGTTTGACAGTTTACAAACTACATACAGTGTAATAGATTCCAATTTTTAATAGTATACTGTATTCATAGTAATGACTGTGCATCAAGCTTAGATGACTTTTCCATATAACTTGCCTTCAAATTTGTTAATGGGCAACTGGTTCAAAGGTAAGTCTGCTAATTTTTCATGTGCATTGGTGAATTCACCATAGCCTTACATCTTATCTCAAAAGGTAACTTTGCTTAATATAGAAGAATTGGCATTTGCATGTTCAAGAGTCAGAACCTGTACAGTAAGTAGATAAAGTATATATACCTTGAATTGGGTTTAAATCGTGTTGAAAGAGTATGGGATGCCAAAAATAAGTGTGACCATTCGAAACTTTTTTGTTTGCCATTTTCCCTTTGATAGTTGAAGAAAAGTATTGTTGAACCATATACAATACTGTCTTTGACAGAAACTCTCTACCTGTGGAGGCACACTTCACATATCTACTACCTAAGGTCCCACCATTGTTAAAGCAAAAAGTATGATCTTCACTTGAACTAAGCAAATACAATAGGTTATAAATTGTGTATTGTAAATAAAGTTCACTCTGTGAGTGCACATTTTGGTAAATTATTTATTTATGTTAGCATTTAAAATTTTAAAATTGCATTTGACCAGGATAAAATTTGGTTTGTGGACATGGCTTTGCTTTATACTTTGATATTAAAAGCTGGTGTTTAATCCTGGTATTTTAAAGCTGCTTTTTTTTTTCAATGTAAGCTAGCCTCCTGCATGACAGAGGTTGAAAATTGTCTGCACTTGAGTTCACTTGGGTTTACATTTGAAATGCGCATGTTTTATTTATAAAAATTTCAATAAAGCTATTCAATGCCTTATTTAGTCTTCTTGATTTTTTTCAAATCTTTGATAATTGATGTGTGGTTGTAGAAACAACATATTTCATTTAATAGTGAATATGCCATCATTGAATCAAATACAAATATTGGCCAAAACCAAATTTTCAGCCATCTTGGAGATCTGAAAATGAATGTTCTGAAAAAATGTGTCTTTTTTTGAACTGTACAATGGTATGAATGAGTAAAACCTGGGACAATTCTACACATACTTACACAAAACTAAATTCTTCTGAACTGATTAAGATACTATCAGCAATATGTATAGGATTGACTACATTTAAATTGTCCACAGGTCAAAAATGTCTCACCACTATTTTATTTGGCATCTTTTACAGAATGTATTGATTTATAAAATTGGATTGGCAATTATACAATTCACACTTGTATTTTTCAAGCAGTAGATTTAGAAAATTATACACAACACATGTTCATGTGTAAAAACTAGGTCAGGAGTAGGCAACCCAAAACATTCAAAGAGCCACTTGGAGCCGTTTCCCACCAAAAACAAAACACTGGGAGCCACAAAACCTATTTGATATCTAAAATGAAGATAACACTGCATATATCCTTTTTTACCTTTATTATAGGTTTGTGTGTGTATGTGTGTGCCTGTGTGTGTGTGCCTGTGTGTATGTATATGTATGTATCATTAAAAATGCAAATCCTGGGCATACACATGTCAATAAAAATATAGAAAAACGAACACCAGGATAAAAATAAACAGGACCATTTAATATAAACAAGCCTGTAAGTAAAAGAGTTACTGAGCTTTCGTCAGCCAAACTACTGACGTCATCAGAGTTAGAATGCTAGGTGATTAGGGAGCCTGCCTATATAGCTGCCTGTCTCTGCACCCGACTTCTTGAGCGCGTCATCGGTTCAACGAAACAATGGCGGCCTTAGGAGAGGATGATAGCCCCACAGGGCGTTTGAAATGCAGATTGAGAAATCGCTCCAAAATGAGAGGGAGGAGAGATAAGGAGCAGAGGATCGGAATACAATCATCATGTCCACCAACAAACTGCCGGATGCGAATCAACTTAGCACGTTGCAGATTAACATAGCTAATGGGCCGATGAGGCGCTCGAGAAGCCGGGCGCAAAGACAGGCAGCTATATAGGCAGGCTCCCTAATCACCTAGCATTCTAACTCTGATGACGTCAGTAGTTTGGCTGACGAAAGCTCAGTAACTCTTTTACTTACAGGCTTGTTTATATTAAACGGTCCTGTTTATTTTTATCCTGATGTTCGTTTTTCTATATTTTTATTGACGTGTGTGTGTGTGTGTCTTTAATAATTTTGAATATTGGAATCCCAAGTATGGACATTTAAAGTCAATCAGATAAAAATAAAGAGCTCTAGGATATAAGGTAAAAGGCTTTTTTTATTAATTGCTGAGCTTTCGTTAACCTGTTAACATCATCGGAGCAAAGGGCTAAATGAGAAGGGGGAGTATGTGCATAAATTTACATAACAGTTAAACAACGATTGTAGTGAGGCATGTGCACATAACGTGCTTAAGAAGCTCTTAAAGGCATAAAGCAGTCAGTCTCAAGACTATTTTCAAAAGTCATGCTTGTCAGCTGTTTGGCGCATAGATCCAAAGCGCCTATCAGCTGTTCAGCGCGAAGTTCTTAGGGCTTCGTGCTCAGTCTTGTGCTGGTTGGATTCCTTCCATGAGGTGCAGCTTTGGGGTTTGTTTCGCTCTATCGCGTGCAGGAGCTGCGGGATTGGATCTGTAGGGAGAGAAAGCAGATGCCCCCGTGGGGCATGTGAATGATTTGCCTCCCCTCGCTCCCCCTTTTTAGGAAGCTGTGAAATCGTCTCTGTTAAAGAAGCCAGCCTCTTGGATTGTATAGTTTCTTTGGTGTAGGATTGCTATGTGTGTGTGTGTTTCATTGGGTATGGTTATTTGGAATGTTTGTGTGTGATCGTTTGTTATGCTTATTAGTTGTGGATGGTTTTGTGGTGTTTGGGAATTGGGCTGTAATATTTTGTTCCATTTAATGTGATAAGTCATATTTCATTGCAGGGGGGAGTTTTGGTCTTGGTCTTAATATTCTGTTGTTACTTAGGTGTTGTGTGTGGTTGTGTGTGTCTTGTGAGGTTGCAGGATTTGTGTTTTGGATGTTTGTGTCCTGGATGTTGTGGTCAGGGGGGTTGTTGTTTCATGGTGTGTTGGTTGTGTGAGTTGTCATGGTTGTGTTAGAATTATATTCTTTAGTTAGGTTTGATGAAAAGGATTGTGTTGTAGAAAGGATATCTATTGTGTTGGTTTGGGGTTTGATAAGTGGGAGGGGTGGTGTTTTGTGTTATTATTGGTTGGGTTGTTTAGTTATTTTATGTTTTTGTAAATGTCTTTTTAGGGTTTGGTAAGGAGGTAGTAGGTCTATGTGTCTATTAATAGAATGACAATCTGAAAACCAAGCTTCTTTTAAAAGATGGCCTCCTTTGGTGGAATCATGAGCAATGACTTCTGCTCCTTTAAAGTTGAAAGTGTGGCCATGTTCAGCTATATAGGTCCAGACTTGGAAGCGTTGTTCTTGTCTTCTTACTGCCAAAATATGCTCATGTATTCTGGTTTTAAGTCTTTTTGATGTTTCTCCAATGTAGTTACATTGGCATGTGTTGCAGTTGATCTTGTATACGATGGAGGACAAATCACTGGTTGGTAATGGTTCTTTGGGTCACATCAACTGGGAACGTAATGTTTGGTTGGGTTTGTGTACTATGTTGATATTGTATGGGGCAAGGATCCTGGTGGTTGCTTCTGAGACTCCATTGATGTATGGGATTGTTGCCCAAGTTGTATTAGTTGGAGCATTGTAGTTTGAGTGTGGTGTCTTATCTTTGCAGCAACGTTTAATGAAACTTGGTGGGTAATTATTTTGTTTGCATATGCTGAGAAGATATGCTTTCTCTTTAGATTTTGCTGTTTCTGTGCTGCAGTGGGTCTTGATTCTTTTGAATAAAGTTCTTAAACAGCTGATTTTATGCGATACAGGGTGATTGCTTTGGTAGTGGAGAATTCTATCTGTGAGTGGTTTTGCGATAGACGGTGGTTGATAGGTTGCACACATTGCTCCTAGAAACACGAAGCCGAAAACACCAGCCTGAAGATGACGAATGAGACTTCGTCGAAACGTCGCCAAGACACTTCCAATTTGACGCGGGAGAAATGTATATATGTATGTATGTAGGTAGGTAGGTAGGTACGTACGTATGTACGTACGTACACACATCCAGTGCTTTTTTTAAAAAAAAAAAAAAGTGTTGGAACTCACACATGTCATACAACCCGACTTGCCTACCCTACAAGGGTCCATCCAAAAAAGGTGCAGGAACTCTGTTCTGGGCGTTCTATGACAAAAAAAGGCCCTGTATGTATCTCATAAAATAAAAAAGGATATATGCAGTGTTATCTTCATTTTAGATGTCAAAAGAGTCTCTATGTCTCTATCTGTCTCTCCTTCCCTCTCTCTCTCTCTTTCTCTCCCTCTCTCTCTCCCCCTCTCCCCCTCTCTCCGATCTTCTGCTCACCTGGCAAGCTGGCTCAAGCTGTTCAACAAGCTCAGGGTAGGCAATCTCGGCTATTTTATGACTCATGGACTTCAACTCCCAGAATTCCTGAGTCAGCATAGCTGGGCTAGCTAGCTCTCTCCTGCCCTTCCTGCTTCCTGCAGGGATGCAGCCAAGGCAGGAGCCCCACCCAATAAGCACCCAGTAAGATTTTCAGCTCGGGGGAGAACACCGTGAGTCCACTCTTTTACACAGAGAGAGAGAGAGAGAGAGAGAGAGAGAGAGAGGGAGAGGTGCAAGTGCCTCTTTCTGTCTCTGTCTCTGTCTGCAAATGGCGGAGGAGGCTGGGAGCCACAGGGGAAGGCTCAAAGAGCCACATGTGGTTCTGGAGCCGCAAGTTGCCGACCTGTGAACTAGGTTCATGGCCTGCTTAGACATGGTTTGCTTAACTATAGTTGTTAAAGCTATAATTGTGTTGGCATAAGACCAAAACCAAACCATATCATGTATTAGTATGATATGTAAATCAAGACAATATACAATCCTGCTATGCTAAATTAAACCCCAATTAATTTAGAACACTATTGTTTTTGATGAAAACATGAAAACTGGCACATCATTATGCAGACTAAGCTAAAATACTTGACTCATCATCATTTGATATTTCAAATGTTCAAATGTTAAAAAAGTAGATAGAATTCCCAGCCCAACCACTTTCCTCAACCTCTGCCCCTCCTGATTGGTGAAGACTACCTGGGGAATGATAGGCAGTTAGTCCAAATAGTAGTTTGCCTGCCTTGAAGGTAGTAGTATGCCCCTCCTCAAGTCAATGCTGGATCCAACTTCAGAAAAAGTTGAGAAGGTGATCAGGCTGTGCCTTTAGTGGATCCTGGAGAAAAGAGATTATATTGATAACATTTCAGGCTGGGGCAGTCTACTGGGATACTGGCCATACTTTTTGATGACTTCCAGCAGAGCCATGAGAGGGGTGCTGCAACTGTTTTTCTCTTGGATCTCTCAACAGCTTTGGGTACCATTGATTAGTGGGATCTTCAGTTCCCAAGAGGGATTACGATTGGGGATGCTGTGTTTTGAGATTCTTTTATAGTCAGTTTCAGTCGATGCTGGCAGGAAGAGAATGTTTGTGGCCAAAGCCCCTGAAATGTAGGGTATCACAATACTTGGGGTCCTCACCTCTTCTGAATAACATATTCGTGAGACTGCTGAGTTTGGTCATTATCTCAAGCATCATTGGTACTGCACATGAACCTTAGGCTGGCCAAATGAAGCAATCAGGTACTTGTCCCGATGTTTGGATGTGATGAAAATTTGGATAGGGAAAAATCAACTCAAGTTTAACCCTAGCAAGATTGGCTAATTTTTATCTTTAATCCTAAGTAGGGTTGCAACTCCTTATTTAGGATTGGTACACAATTTGTGAATTTTCTGTTTTCCCTTGA